GGTAGTTGTAGGAGGTTGTAGGTGGTTTTAGGTGGTTTTAGGTCGTTCCATGTTTCAGTGCTTGCGCAAAACGGATTCAACTGCAGGAAAAAAAAAACAATGCCCGCTAGATAACAACTGCCTCATCAACAGCGTAATCTACAAAGCCAACGTGACCACAGACAAGGACAACATAGGAAAGAACTACATCGCACTAACAGAAGGAACATTCAAAGATCTTCAAACAACGATATACGCAACATTAACTATCGTTCCGCAACAGAAATTATGCTGACTGCACCAAACTAGCAAAACACATCTGGAAACTCAAGGACAACAAGGTAAACGACAAAATGAGCTTGTCTATCATCTCTTCAACAAGCGCCTACAATAATATTTCCAACAATAAGCGCCTACAATAATATTTGCAACATTTGCTAGCTAAAAAACTTCACATTATTAAAAGAACTGAATTAACTTCGAAATGCCGCCATGAGAACAAATAATTCCTAATAAACACCGATCCCAGATTACAATACATTCCCTACTAATGATCAAACCATCTGAGAAAGGTTTGATCAAAATATAGGTTTAGAGCGCATAATAAGCACGAGAAAGGCAAGGATTTCATAGAAAACTTAAATTTATGCGAATTTCTTGAATGTTCATCAATCTTTTGAACATTATCTGTCACTTGACAACGTTTCTCAGGCCTGTTCCTATTGCGATCCTTATCTAATATTACAAAGGAAAATCGACTAAAATGACTTTCAGCAAGAAGCCAATGAACTATGTGTTTTGTTTCGTTAGACTTAAGAGTACCCGTAAGTTTCGCCATAGTTGTGAGCAATTTCAAGCCGTTTTTCTTGACCGATGTCGGCAATTATTGTGAAGAACGGAAAATAAAAGTTTTAATTAAAGTGTATTTAAAAGTATCCGCAAAAAAGATAGATAGCAACTTTTTGAATTTTTGGCAGTTCTTTTGAGCGACTCTTAGGAATAACAGTGAGCCATCATCCAGAATTTATGGGCACAATCGGGAAAGGCCTAATCACAATGTTTCGATTGCATACTTCGAATTCTCTTGTGGCGATGATGTCGGCTGAGTACCCAGCTGTTATGACAACTTGCTAAATAGCTTTTAAAACGTTTGATCGTGTAGACTGATCGTCCGCGTTAGAGAAGTCTTTATAAGAACTGTTATCTTAAGTTCATCTGGTTCAACCTAAATGCACGTTAGCTTGAAAGCACACCGTTCTATCATACGCACTGGAAGCTCAAAAAATTCCTGTTTAGCTTCTTTTCACTGGCGACGTGTCCCTGCGCCTTCAAGAGCAAATGACAGCGGCCTATCCCATTAAAGCTGAAATAAAACACAACGACGGAGCAATTTCCCCCAATCGATTCAGTATTCTCTAGCGTAGAATACTCATGTTATTCTTTTCAGGGTGCTGCACCGAAAGATGATTTGCTTTAATCAAAGAGGCCCATATCGGCCTAAACGCCAACAAGATAGTGGCTGGTCATATCTTGTGTGTGCTTGTGCCTTTGTCTGCCAAGCGGGGAACATGGGCCTTATTTTGAGCTTTGGAGTCCTTTTTCCGGTCATCATGGAACGCTTTAACTCAAAACGACAAGATACAGGTAACATTATTTTAAATCTTGTTTTGATACAGAACTGTTGACCTTCTAGTGATGTTATCAATTTTACATCAACCTTTGATCGCCAACGAGCTTGGGTCGACATCCGGCTAGCTACATGGCATAAAACCCACTTTTTTCTTCTCTTTTTAGCTCTATTCGTGGGTAATTTTCAGAAGTAATAGACTGTAGAGCTCTACACTTGACCTCTGTACCCTAAATGATCCCTCAATTGAACTATAAATGACAATATCAGTGGAGGTTCACAAAATATCCCTTTGAAATATCTGGAATGGCATGGACTATTGGCTGAGTAGAGAAATGACTTTGTACCGTGTGACATAAGATGTGCTGGATTTTCTCACATTTTGTCCTTCAGTGG